TTGAACATTAAGCGAACAAAATATTATACATTTCCGGATAAAAACTAAACGGAGAATGAAAAGGAAATGATAAGTAACGAGACAAAGCGCGCGCACACACACACACGCGCGCGCGCGCACACACACACACACACACACACACACACACACCATGGCAAATTGATGATGTATCGATAGTGGCGGTGGTAACGGTGGTAGCGAGAGAGGTGTAGAGGCCTTTCATAAAGAGGGAGGGAGGGAGAGGTAGGTGTGTGGAGAATCACCATTACATATACTGTATGTATGTGGGTTTCATCAGCCAAATTTCACTCACGTGTACGTCACATATAAAGGTTGGAAGCGGCTTCAGACATGGTTGGCTTAGACAAGATCATCCCATGTTCATATTGTAGACTCAGCAAAAGCGAGGTTTTAAAAGACCGAGCATCCGTGGGGAGCCCCAGTTCAACACTCACACTCCAGTGAATCCTTTTGGAAGCCTCTCTATGTGGAGGAGCCTACGGAGGTTAGCAACATGCCCCTACTGTTAATTAAGGTAAGTACAATAGTTTGATCACACACCACCTGTCTCCTACCAGCTGTAAATACTGTACATTATATGAATGGACAAATTAGAAGAAAAAATGGGACAAATCTGAAATATAGGAATATAGTTTAATAGTGAAGTATTAAATTAATTGTTGGTGCCATACAGGGCTGTCCTTCACATTGTTGACGTAGCTGTCTCTCCTAATCGCCGAGAGGTTAAGTCCTCCCGTTCGGATTCCCGGGTTACTAGTGTATACAACGCAGGTCACGTTATTCAATAACAACGCAAGTGACTCGGCTCGAGTTACGACATGACTTTCATAATGACGAGGATTAAGGATGAAGGAAGAAGGAAGAGAGGGATGGCAAGGGAGGGGAAAAGAATTATAATAAAATAGAGTGGAGGAGGGAAAAGCAAAATCAGTGAAATACAAAAAAAAACGAGGAGGGGAAGAAGATTACAAAAAATAGAGACAGAAAAGTATGAGAAACAGAGGGGGGGGAGAGGTAGGAGGAAGAGGAAACAAAGAGATAAAGCTGAAAGAAGCACGGGGAAAACAACAAATATAAGAGAGAGAGAGAGAGAGAGAGAGAGAGAGAGAGAGAAGACATGATCAACACAACTAATCATAAACACACACACACACACACACACACACGAAATGTAAATAAACGGGTGAACATACATACACTAAGCACTAAATCCGTATATAACAAACGCAACTAAAACATGTAAACACAAACACCACAAACACAACCAATCATTACACTTATTGAGGATACGAGGGAATGAAAGAGCGGATCAACCATAATTAATTTCTTCACCACGTTATCGGAATACTAAGGCGCCAGCAACCACTACGTCAACCCAGCAACCAGCAGCAGGGAGACTCACAGGTTGGTCGTAATATGGCAACTGATTGACCAGGTAAGGCTATATTACCTGATGAATAATGAGCAATGAAATATATAGATAAATAAGTAAACTCTCTCTCTCTCTCTCTCTCTCTTTCGTAAATTTTCTCCCGAATAAAAAACATCACAACATGCACCTGGTTTACGGTAGATTGGACAAATAATTAACATTTTTGCCATCCCCGGTATTTTTTATGAAAACTGATAAATTAACTTAATATTCTTTCAAGAAAAAATATTGTTTTTCTCTCCGCTCTCGTTTAGGCTTGGAAGGGAAGGGTGAAAATTGATTTTTTTTTTCAGATTTCCGAAATGCGTAATGATGACTTTCGTTTCGGAGTAATTAGTATTTTTTTTTCTTTTTTTTGTCAACATTGTGAGATACCTGACATTATTTTCTGTATAGTTGTTTTTGTTTCAGGTCTGTTCAGGCTGGTGCTTCTATTATAAGCACTGCGGTCTTGACACAGAGTTGAAAGGACCGAAGACCTCCGCCAGCATATTAATAAACTGACGACAAACTTCCTCTTGAAGAAGTTGTTGAGAATTCTTTGAGGGGTTCCAAAGGCGTCATCGGAGTAAAAATCGGAGGAAAACTGAAAAATTCGACGGAAGTTAGGCCAGGCTGGGTTAAGCCTGTGTAGTTATATAGATATTTTATCGGTTAAGACATCGTACTCACGGGGTTAATACCTTACTTAGTGGGTAATTCATTGTACTCAGGGGGTATGGCAACGTACTCAATTGGCCTGTAGACTCTGAGAAACTCCACTCAGAAATGAGAAGACAAACCTAACCTAACCTACCCAATGATGATTTGGAATTTCTCGAAGACTTCTGAACAACTTCTTTAAGGTTGAGTGTGTTGTCAGTCTATGAGTATACTGGCGGAGTTCATCTGCAATTTTATCATAGATATCTAGGGAGTAATGATAACACAGGAACGTTATGATTGTGTTATTTGTATCGTGTACGGCACTTTAAGTCACTGTTGTCTCATGTGGTCTTCCTCTCTTATCACCTTCTACATAATAGTATCCTGTATCCCTCTCTTCTTTTACCACCATCACCCACACACCCACACCAACATCACCCATTCCACACCATCACCCACACACCCAACACCCACATCAACCACACACCCAACACCCACACCACTATCGCCCACACCACCATCACCCACACCACCATCACCCACACCACCATCACCCACTCCACCATCACCCACTCCACCATCACTCACCCGCCACAGATAGTAAAAGTCATCCATCAACTCTGCCTAATAAAACTCACGCTGGGAATGGATTATAACATTTAAAATTTTCCCCTTTCCATTTTTCAGGAGGGATGGGTCAGGTAAACAAGTCCTCTACCTACGGGCAGCACAAGGACGTTAATCTCACACTACGTAATCATCGAGGCTTTAAATATTCCGCCCTGGACGGGGAAGCCTCTTAAAACAAGCTTAATTTTTCACCCTCGGCATCATCATTCTTCCAACATAATTAAACTTACAGGTAAACTTGTTTCCCCCTCAGCTGGTCGAGTGACTCCCACTACAGCTTCACCCATCTTCAGCACGTGTGAAGAGGCTCATAGGGCTGAGTGTTCTCTATGTCCGAACGTCGATCTCTCTCTTTTTTGTTACAGTGAAAAGAAATATTTTTGTTCCTCCTTCATGTCGTGCATCAGATACAACAACCCAAGAACAACGATGAGGTTAAACAAGTCACCAGCTTCCTGTCGCCGCCACAGTGTTTCTAACGTTAATACAATTATCATGTCCCCTAAAGGTTGTAACGGTGACGTACATATTAGTCGCCTTAATGATATCTTGGTTAATCTGAGTAGCTGACACTTCCGACTTCATATACATCACCCACAGGTCCTTAGTGGTTCCGCAGCCCACCACAGATGGTCATGCTACTGAAGTTAATTGATTTTATTGGGTTTACATGTCATCAGTGAAGCCTCACCCATGACAAAGAATTCATCAAGGGTTATAGCGTGGTCCTCCTGATACCTAGGTGAGGTTGATCACAGCCCGTCCTCCCCCGTAGACAATTATTACCTCCTGTATATATCCATTTTCTGCGCATACTCAGAACAAAGGTGTGAGCGGCCACGTGGCAAGTAAAGACAGGTAATGTTATTCTGTGCTGCTAAATTCCTTGAGGTCGACGTTATACTGTATATTGTGTTGGAAAGTACCGACAGTAAATGTAAATGGCGTAAATGTACCCGTCCTACATACGGAATATTGTTCAGTTTGTATGATGAAACGACTCACTTTATGCACGCAGTCCATATACAAGTTAGACACACAGCGAGACAATAAATTTGGCTTCAGTTTTCCCACAGGTCAAGTAAATAATAATTTAACCACTATACAACATTCAAGTATATGGGAATTTAATATTAAAGTAACACCAAACATTATTCCTTAGACATTAATACAAACACATCATGGACATTTCCCCTCACAAATGATGGACACGTAAATTTCTTGGGGGGCTTACAGCGACCTCCCCCCAGCTGAGTGGGCTCGCTGCGATCGCTTGGACCCCCCTTTCGATATTCCTGGATCCGCCCCTGCTGAATATTACTGAAAGGGTGCGGGCGGGAGCTATGTGGAGAAGAATCCGCCTCGTGTCCTGCAGGCTGGCTCACGCCCTGGGCACCCACAGTTTACCAAACTGTAAATGGGTTCCTAACTTTACAGCTGGGAAAATGATGGGGATCGAGTACAATACATCCTAGTATAGTGACGGGTTGGGTTACCGAGTGCTGTATCTACACGGACCCGAACAAACTGCGAAGCCTATGACACTATTACCCTTTCACTCAGTTTACCTTAAAAGTCATAAGAAAAACTCTCTCCCTTCCTCGCCTTTTCCTGAAAATTGCTCACTGATATGTTCCGAAATTCAACATATTTTTTCATTATATGTATAACGTTGGTCACCCGGGAGTGGGCGCCGGAATGAATAGAAATGCATGACTGGATTTAAAGATGAAGTCTATTTTCAGCCGGGGGCTGCAAATGAAACCAATTTCGCGGTGAATTTTCGGGAACATAAAATAAAGACAACATAAAACTTAACCACGTGCGAACGAGGCATCAGGAGAGAGGGATATATATATATATATATATATATATATATATATATATATATATATATATATTACCTTTTGTACAATGATAACGCATTATCTATAACAACGCCTGACTCTTTACAATACTTAACACCCCTCACACTTGTTTATACGCAGCTAACAGAACTGACACTGCAATTACTCCAGGTAAAGGTCTTCTTTATCTTGTCTAATTTACTCAAAAGTAGAAAATCACAAGAAAGGAAGACGACATTTATTTCAGGTCATGGACAAAAATAATAAATTATAAAACTAAGAATATTAGTCAAATCAACGTTAATGAAGAGGAGAACTAAAGTCACTGAGGGAGAATTAATAGGAAAATAAGCAACGGAGAAAAATTAAGTTAGACATTGTGAAAGACGATTGACGTGGAAGAGGAAGATTATAATGGTACTCACCAGCGTTCACAGAGACGGGCCTAGAGGTGACGGTGCCCACGCTGTTGCTCACCAGGCACCTGTGGAGGAGTACCGTGTTAAACCATACACGTCTACCACATACTGCTAAACCGTACACGTCTACCACATATTGGTACGCCATGCAAGTCTACCACATATTGGTAAACCATACACGTCTACCACATATTGGTAAACCATACAAGTCTACCACATATTGGTAAACCATACACGTCTACCACATATTGGTAAACCATACACGTCTACCATATTTTGGTAAACCATACAAGTCTACCACATATTGGTAAACCATACACGTCTACCACATATTGGCAAACCATACACGTCTACCACATATTGGCAAACCATACACGTCTACCACATATTGGCAAATCATACAAGTCTACCACATACTGCTAAACCATACACGTCTACCACATATTGGCAAACCATACACGTCTACCACATATTGGCAAACCATACACGTCTACCACATATTGGCAAACCATGCACGTCAACCACATATTAGTAAACCATACACGTCTACCACATATTGCTAAACCATACAAGTCTACAACATGTTGGTAAACCATACAAGTGTACCACATATTAGTAAACCATACAAGTCTACCACATATTGGCAAACCATACACTTCTACCACATATTGGTAAACCATACAAGTCTACCACATATTAGTAAACCATGCACGTCAACCACATATTAGTAAACCATACAAGTCTACCACATATTGGTAAACCATACAAGTCTACCACATATTGGTAAACCATACAAGTCTATTAAAGTGACCACTCATAGCTGGAGAATCATACCGAAATAATCACATTGACAATATTGAACCACATACCTAGTGATTCATAGCCTAACCTAACCGCAGACTTGGTGACCCATAACCTAACCTAACTTAACCGCATACTTGGTGACTCCTGAACATCTACCACCTAATGAGGAACTACACACACGTTAAGAGTATCTACAGAAACTATATTGCTCCACACGAGTGAACCACCGAACATAAACCACACGGCTCCACAAAGCAGGTATACACGGTGCAGGTCGAACCATGTCGGACCCGGGAAAGCATTTACTGTCGGTCTGGTCAAGAGAAAAATAATGCAAACACGTCTACAGCCAAGAGAGAGGCGGGGCATTTAAAAGCTTGTCCCAATATTTTCATACACCGAAACTGTTGTAACTACCCAATTGCTGCCCTTCAATTAACTAATCAAAATATAGTGGGAACTGTTTCGAGGTATTGTTTGGACTATAGTTGCCCCATGAAGGTGGAGTCTTTGGCAACTATAAACTGTATAGTCAATATATATAAGTCATTCTTTATCTTTCCATCCACCTTACTCTTATATAATATATATTTATCGTTATATCAATTTAATTACGACAATGCAACGTTATCATTGTAAATCTCTCTCTCTCTCTCTCGTGTGTGTGAGAGAGAGAGAGAGAGAGAGAGAGAGAGAGTATAGTGGTGTGTCAGGGGTGCACAGTACGTCAGCAGGCCCACCTTATTAACTGGCCTATTACCCCGGGGCAGTAAAATGGTACCTACCATTAGTGTCACGGCATTACGACCGTCGCCATGGCTTATTAACGTTATTGCCTTCGGTGTAATTTTTTTGGGGAGGGTTACCAAATTGTTGTATATACAGCTTTCTCTCTTGTTCTGTGTGTGTGTGTGTGTGTGTGTGTGTACGTATGTAAAGGAATAGTGTTGACACTTTAACAACCCCACCTCGCGGCTTTCTTCTTTATGTCGGGAAATATCCTGAGTAAGTGACACACTGACTCCTGCACCTCACCAGACCAAAATCCTGATGGGTTTATAACTATATATCTATAACACTAAGAAATAAATATATAAGTACGTGAATATATTCTTAAAAAATATATATACTCCCTGTATACTTCATATAACGCTTTGAATACCAAGTGTTGGACTCCTCACTTGACACTGATAACCTAATATACTCTTGGTCAGGGGTGAGCTGAGATGGTTCACCTTTTACCCGCCAACACTCCAGCGTTCTATCCCCCCCCCCCATCCCACACTGCTTCCTAAAACGCTATACACAGAATGAAAAAATGCGACACACACAGTAACCCCCGTATAATATAGGTAATTTTTACAGTTAGCCTTTAATTGGTAGACTTACATTAGCAGGTTGTCTGGCAATTTAGTGTATTTGGGCGTGTCGATTGTAACTGCTAGTCTGATGCCAGTGTCCAGGTGCAGCAAGTCAATTAGTGCAGCTCTGTACCTAGATTTTATGATCTTCATGTCGGAGAGAAATAATGATGCGCTGGGATGTACCGAGCCTAAAAAGCTTTCATGTTAATTGTCACTTTCTTTATATTCGGACACTTTTATACCGCAGCTAATGAACCAAATTATTCTCTTTCTGAAGCTCTTGTGTTCACCTTATCATCACTTTGCATGTTAACTATTTCATTGTCGGAGTCAGCAAGAGCAAAATTTAAACAGCTCTCCTTTTTATTTTGTTATCTTCTCAAAGTCAACTTCTCCACGTGTGTTGAGGACTGCCGGGTGGAGGAGATAAAAGTCACCAACCTGTCTTATGAATACACTCGTCATGATCATCACTGTTTTGAGGAGACTTTTCTTAAGAGTTCCTCGCCCAGCTGTTATATTTTTCTGCTATTATATTTTTTCTATCTCTGAGACAAGTTTTAGTTTCTGATTTAAATTATTAACAGTTAATCATATCTACTACAGATCAGTCCTAACTACTTACCGTTTTACGGTTCATTATGGCGATCATCTCTGGCTTCCAAAAATGACATCCTTAAATCGCAGTGAAAGTGGTCCCAGAGGCTTGAGTGACCAACAGGCTACAGCCGGGTAGACTGCGAGTGCTATGTGACGAGACTAGTGACCATTGGAACATGTGGGAGACGAGAGCTGTATTCACCCAGGCGCTGCACTCCACCTCAGTATGTAATGGTAATTCGCCATACTTAGAGGATTAACTTAAATAACTGTCTCTGAGAAGCACTGATACTAACTAAATTGATTATCCTTCGTACAATATCCATTTCTACTTCCAGTGTAAGAAATTCGAGGCCATACAGAAGCATGCTGATGAATGAAACATTGGTGGTTTATAACTGAGGAAAACTTGAATCTTTCTTGCATAATGCCACAGAGCCGTTTTAGGATCCAATCAGGGCAGTTGCTCCAGTCAGGGTAAGTGCTCCAATCAGGACAGGTTGCTCCATCAGTCGCAGGTGCTACAAGCTTGTGGAGTGGCATATTATGTGGCGAGTTTAAAAGTACCGTAATGTTCTGGTCTTCATTCTTCATCTTTAGCAGTATTACATTCAACTGTTGTTCCTTCACACCGTAATATTCAAACACCAACCTAACTAACCCCCAAGTTCTTCCTCCAACTCCTAATATCAACACAACCGAGGGTGTGTCTCTTGTGTTGACTCATACATCCAGTAGGAGAGAAAAATGTACACTTTAAGAAGTCTCTGAGCCGCAGCGTCCTCTGACGTCAGTTAGTTTCACCTCGTCATTGTATTTCTTGACAACTACGTATCACGCTTCTTGTTCCTGTCACTCGTAGAACCAGTGGTCTCTACAACAACTTCCTTAATTAGTTCACCATCCTGAAAGGCTTCTTAATCGTTGTGATAACTTGGCTGACACGATATGATGCAGCTGTGAACCCTTTGATATAGTCACAAAAATTGACAGTTGGTCCTGTAAGATATTTAATAATTCATTCAACTTCGTCTCTATAACTCACTTTAAAAAGGCAAATTCAACAGCAAAAGTTTTGTGGACAACATAAATATGTGTTTCAACAGAGCCATATTCAGATGACAAATTCAACATTATCATTCATCTCTCACTATGTTGAAGAGGAACTCCTCGTCCCACTCATTATGAAAGTGGTAAGTTTTACTCTTTTACGGCTTTGTCCAGCACTCATGGTTAATACTGTCTGGTTTGTGAAGTCTCTCACTGTCTACTGAACAAGGAAATGTCAACAAGGACACCGCGTGGCTGTCCTCGCCTCCTTGGACTACATTCAAAAGGATTTCACCCATGACTCAAAGGAAGTTGTCTTGTATAACGTCAGTTGTGCCAGAATTACATTGTAGAAGCTACAAAATTTATATAAAGAAGTTCACAACTGAACATAATCTCTTCAATTTTTCACTTATTTATGAAAGCCAAATCACATTGGGGACTTGTTAATGTCTGGCTGGGTGTCTGAGATCACCTTTTTATGATATTCAACATATTTGTAAGAGATGAACCAATCGAAATGGGCACAAGTACTACACCATTCATTAATATTTCTTTCGTTTTTTTATAACTAACGGTATTTTATGAACATTTACGCTGGGGTGGATTTAATACTCGTCTTTATCAACATGTAAGACACAACAGGAAGTGGGTGACCTCCAGATGTGAAGGACCACTTGACGACGGAACTGCTTTTCATCTATAAATCACTGGGTCGAGAATCCTGGCACTCGAGTAATGAAGATCACCACAATGTAATTAATGACGGTGTGGATGTGACGCCGCCAATACATCAAACATTTCCTGAGTGTTGTCGTGGCTGTGAACACGTGTTGCCACCTCCAGTATGTAGGAAATTTCGAAATTTTTGTCGTTTTCAGGTCCGTTGATTATAGGTAACAGTGACTTACTTGGAAGAGCAATTAAGTCTCCAAGAATAACATAATCAAGAAGCGTTAACAGCTGGTATACGATACTAACCCTTAACCCCTTGAGTACAATGTCTTAACCCATTAAGTACGTTGCTTTAACCACTTGAGTAAAAATAGTTTAACCCCTTGAGTACAATGTCTTAACCCCTTGAGTACGATGTCTCAACACTGAAACAAATTACCTTTTCACTTAAAATTAAATTCTGTACTCAGGGGGGTTGAAATAATTGTACTCGAGAGGTTTCATAAATGATAAATAAAACCTGGACAATAAAACAGGATGGCTCCCTAAATTTAAGAATAAAATAACGAACTAAAATAATAAATCTCAAATACATCTGCATGACAGCTGAGTGTGTGAGGGGGGGGTCATCTCTATATGCAACTGAGTGGGTGTCTGTATGTAATAATAATAATAATTAACGGTTTATTGAAAGAGTTCTGCAGCCCGAAGGCTGAAAATATACATTAGACAAAATTGAGTTATTACATACAAAGACATGGGGCTGGTCATTGAGACACCAGGTGGTGAGGTGTTCACGTAGTGTAGTAACTCGTCATCGGGTGTTGATACGAAGGACGTCACGTGGTCATTGAGACACCAGGTGGTGTGGGGGTAATGTCACAGTACCTCACTCTCTCTGCTCAGTGATGTTGTGTTATCTCGTAGTCAGGTGCATAGCCGGCCCTCTGTTGTTCCCAGGGTGGACGGGTTAGCACCGCCTGGTCAGAAGATGGAGGTCAGTTCCCAGTGGTGCTTATCTCACTGGTGGGTCACGGCTCTCACTGGTACTGTCTAGTGCTGAATTCACTGGCTTAAACACTGTTCATCACTGTTCAACACTGATCCCAGTTCTTTCCGAAACGAAATTGTCACTTTTGATTATGTAGATATCCCGGTGGTGATGATGGGTCAGGAAGAGAGAATTCAGAAATGGGCCAAACATGGCCAAGGGGGGCCGCTGCTCAGCAGGAGCAGCACCTGAATAGGTCTTGACCCTACGGTGGTCAAAGATGTAGTGAGTGGGTGTCTGTATGTGTAATTGAGTGGATGGCTGTATGTGCAGTTGACTGGATGTGTGTGTGTGTGTGTGTGCAGCTGACTGGATGTCTGTCTGTGCAACTGATTGGATGTTTCTGCAGCTGACTGGATGGCTCTATGAGCAACTGACTGGAAGTCTGTATGTGCAGCTGACTGGATGTTTGTATGTCCAACTGACCGGATGTCTCTGCAGCTGACTGGATGTCTGTATGTGCAGCTGAGTGGATGTGTCTTTGTGCAGTTGACCGAATATTTTGATATCAAATTCCAGTATAAACGAAACAGCAGTATCAACACCTCACCCCTAAGCTCTTTGGTGCCGCCTGCCTAATACAGTACTGGGAGCGTCATAACATAGTCGAGTAAACTTACGGTTCAGGCAAGAGATTTACAGACGAGATAATGATGTATTACATCTATTTCTGTTTGTCATTTAACGAAGAGGAAGGCACCACGGGATCACCAATGCACTTGTTCCACCGCCATAATGTTTCACTTAAGTTGGATATTCTCGTTATGTCAAGGATAAGGATGTACGGCTGCTGTTGTTGTTTACATTGACAAGAGACGATAATAAAACCCAGGATGAAATATTTGACCTTAATAATGCCTCCCTCGAGTAACAGTATTGTGGAAATGGGACAAGATTTTAACCCATAGCAACAAGTTAAACGAATACAGTAATGAAGCTTTGATGCAGTAGTTGAAAACATACGAATATATTATAACGAATGTATGAATTATGACGTAAATGACGAGCCAATTTCCATATGCGTCCCATTTACACGAATTTAAGAAGCATTAAGGTGATTGCTTTATACAGATCCCCCCTCCATGAACTGATATATGTACTGATATATATATTTATTTTCATCAAAGACAAGCAATTGATAACTGTAAACTAATCATACAAGCGGACGTAAACAATCTTTGAATATCATCGAGCGTAAGAAAAATGATACTGTGACCGAGTAAACGACGACATTTTTACCTTCTTCTGTGACGCTAACGACGACAGCCAAGGTGATGTTAGGTGAGGGTTCAAAGTTCTCTCGTACGGGCAAGGAAACTGTTATATATGTCAGTGATAAACAAACCAAACGTACAGAGATATAACACCCACCCACCCACCCACCCACCCACACACACACACACACACACATCAATAACTTAGGTAACCTCCGGGAATTGAATTAACCATAAAACCAAACAAGTTGACCATTAAGACTGACTTTACAATCTCCCAATCAGCTGACTTTACTCTGGCTGACCTGTAAGCTGTGACGTGTAACTGACCAATCAACGAACGCATTGCTCTTTAGTCTGTTTACAGGCGAGTAACGACAGAATTGAATGACACTCCCACGGCTCAGCTATCCATTAACGACCTTTATCTATATAGGACAAGTTGTTTATTTGTCTTTTAAGACTGTCATATCTTGAGTCTATATTCGTATTAAGAGTCTAAGCACATAGTGTATAGGGTCCCTAACAGAGCCTCCCAGTGCTGTGAACGAGGGATCCAGCATGACATGGCTCTGATAATTAATATCATACAGGTCTGTCAAACCATAAAACGAGCTGAGCTAACCTAACCTAACCTAACCTAACCTTACCTACACGAAATGCACTTGACCAAATTATTTGTTCTTAAAGAACCAGTCACCATACCGAACTTTATCTTACGATCTTTGAGTATTTTGAAATTAAAGTTTGGGAGGGAAGGGGAAAGGAGTGGAGTTTAGTCACTTGATTTCTGTCGCCACCATAAAAGGTTTAGTTTATTCACTCTTTTTAACAAACATGGTATATAAGATAATAACAAACCTTTTCTATACACAAAGACTCGTGAACGACGTAAACTCGCAGCGAAAGTCAGTCACTTTTACTCAACATTTTTTTGTTGTGACAAGCACCTTACTCAGACAACAAGATAATTTGCTACAATTGACTTTTTTAATAAAGTTCAGTTTATCTATCTAAGGAAACATGGTGGTCCTGAGAGACCAGAAAGTTCACCAGTGAGGTAATTCTCTCGCTACCATAGTAGACATGTGATTATCATGAAGGAATCGTAGTTATCTGTGACCTCATGAACTGTAATCATTATTCAGTACATGACCATAATTATTCCCACAAGAGATGGCCGTCAACTGACCTGTAGGTGGCGGCGTGGAGGTCATGGCGGTACTGGTCAGGCTGGAAGGCGAGCAAGGTGAGAGTGGAGTTCCCCTGGCTGCCTGTCACCGCCCGCAGTCCGCCCACTGGCTCGGCCCGCGCCCCGTCAGCAGTCATCCACGAGATAGTGGGCTGGGGTGAGGCCGTGGCCGAGCAGGTGAGGGAGGTCCCCCGTGTGTTGGGGAATGACATGAGAGGAGGAGGTTCTTGGAGGAGGCGAGGACCTTCACGAAGACCAGAACAACCTGCAGGAGAAGAAAGTTGCTTTATTAAAATGGGTTCTGGTAGGGGCAATTACAAGCACTAAAATCCAAACTTTTCATTGGCCTTGTTGCGAAGGTGTAGGTCACAACTGTATCAAAGAAGTTCTGTCAATGTGTATAGCAGATTTCTGAGCCTGTGTGTGTGTGTTAAGGAGAGAGATTTAGATGCTGAAAATATTTGTGATGTTTATAGGTCTGGAAAAAGCACAACACACAGCGAGTAATATAGTGTTAAGGAACTTTTAGTTCCCCTCGACGATGTCTAAAAACGCCGCAATATCACTGTTTTGCAGTGGACGCTGTTAAAATGAGGCTATTTCTAAATTAAACCTAACCTAACCCTAGTTGATACGAAACACAAGCGGCCGAAGCGTTGTTAGAAGACCGCACCAACCTAACCCAAGAAACGTATTTAACCTTACCTAACTAACTACCTAACCCCCTCCCCCCACCGGGTATATTAAACAGAAAAAACTTACTATGATAGGGTGTAATTTTGCGTTTTTTGTGGACGTGACAAGCCGCTCGGACCGAAGGACATGTAAACAAACAAATAGCGGAGGACAACACGGAGCGTGGATCAGGCCTCAGTACCGCTGTATCGCCCCGAAAGACGAAGTAGTGCTGCTAGTGCCAGCCTTGGGGCCTAATTATCTACCAATGAAGCATCTACCCAAGAAATGAATATCATATCCGAACTCAACGATGAAAATATATTATGAAGAGATCCATCAATATTAACCCGATATACACAGGACAACACAGGTGATACATTTCCCTAACAGGATTGATGACGGGGTTGATTTACGAACTACTGATGGCGACAGTGTTGGTTGTCTGAAGATAATTAAACTTAAAATCATTTACTATTCAGATTATCTTATCCCATTCATTCATAAATTCATTCATCTTACAAGTTATGTTTTTCTCGGTTACAATTTTAATCATTTGTTCATTAACTCACTTTAGATGCAAAGCTCTCTAGTTACAATACTAATTACTCATTAACTCACTCACCTTGTATGCTACATTTCCTGAATATAATAAACCTTTTCCACCTGTGACGGTAAAGTTTCCGGGAGTTTGGTTTGGATCACTGTAGATTGTTCAATAAACTATACATCCATATTTCTGGGATGGTTGACACACCTGCACTGAGTGTAATTAGTTCCTTCCAGAATCAATCTGGCCCGGTAGGGAAAGGGGGGGGGGTGTAGCTGTAGATAACATCCGTCCCAAGATCGTAAAAATGCCGACTGATGTCTCCTTCCTTGAACTAGCCAATCAGAACTAGACGGCGTGGCGTCACAGTAGGGGGGGGGGGGCTGCCCGCGGCCAAAGACTATACACGAAAGATAGGAAAGCGACTATCCCTACCATTAAAACAGATGGGGGACCGGTGGTAGAAGCGGTACCGTTCTTGCCTCGCAAGCGAGATGTCACGGGTTCGATTCCCGGGCCGGTGGAAGTTGTTTGGACTTCCTTCCTAGCCCCCATTAGTCCCTGTTCACCTAGCAGTAAAGTAGGTACCTGTTGTAAGTCGAAAGTTGCGAATTCGTATTCAGGGACAAGTTGTTGGAGCTTCCAATAACTTGATGATATTAACCACTGACTCTTCAGGCTTCTACGCCCTTAACTCAAGAGACATAAAGGCGCATCACTATACAGAGCATCATTTTAACGGTTGCTAGCGTGTCAATTTTTCATATGAAATATGCTTAAGATATGTTAATATAACCAATTTTATATTTTCTCCATATAATACACATAAAATGTATAAAATAGTCGTTCACCGTGTAATGTTATAATAAGTTACTGGAAGAATTGTTACTCCCTTTAATTTTTATTCATGTTTGGAACATATTTTTTGCATATTTTTTGTGTGAATTAAATGAATATCCTATTTCATGTATTCATCTAAGCCAAATGAATGCCAACTCATTTTCTATGCTTTAGAATATAAAATATTACATTGTTTTTTTAGGATCATAAGCAACAGTCCCTGTATTTGGGGGTGAAAGTATTACATAAATAGTTTTATGGTTTATTTTCCACAAAAATATATAAATATATAAATGTGGATCATAAAATAAAGTCTATAGACATATACTGTACCTATGCAAACATTTATTTGCAATATATTTTATTATTTGACATACTGTACATAATATAACACAAACCGAGGTTAATATCTGGACAAAACACGAAGTAGGAAACATAATAAGCAGCACCATATAAATAAACCAATACTAATACAAAGGTCTGACGACCCAAGGGAGCAGAACAAAGCTAAAAATAACAATAGATAAGATGAAGTGATCTGGTTGAGCCCAGATTCTTTCTACTTCTGCTGTATCTCAGTTTCACCACTTTTCTTCAATCCCTAATAATCTTCTTTCACCTCTTAACTCATGACTCCAATGCCAGTACCCGGACATGCATTTTTACAAAGCCTTCCCAACAGTGTAATTTCCTTCGGGGAAATGATGGCTAAATAATCTGGTGTTTTTGCTTATATTTTCTGGGCTCTTTCCTTTAAGTTTCTCAAGCCCCAGTACTTGTATCCATTACAAGCACCTGTAAATAATATCTAAAAATCAGATTCTACTTTGCCTGCAGGGAGTTTTCATATTGTTTGTAAATATTATGATAAATAAACCTGTCATATCATATGTATGTAATACAAAACTGTGCTCCTACCTTTCTTTATCCTTTGGGAATGAATGGTATACACATTGGGGATGATCTTCCTTGGTTCTGAGGCACAACACGCACGGGTGTCCTCTTGCTGCCATTTTGACAGTAAATGAATTTCGCGGTCACGTGACATAAACAAACTTTAGTCTTTGCACACGACACGAGTTGCACACTGGCGCCATCTATTGTTTTGGCTTAGCCACTTTTTAGGATCCAATTTCCGTCCGCTTTCCTATCTTTCGTATACAGGTATAGTCTTTGCCGCGGCCATCACCGACGAACTACCTTACAGACTAAGTTACCTGGTTCAGTCATCCTCAAGCATTCTCTAAGTGATTTTAATTACTTTATATACGTTATAAATACATACGTTTGGTATATACTGCATATATGGTCAAGTACAGTTGAGGGCTGTTATCTTAGCATCTAAGATAGCAGCTGAACAACAAGATAAAAAGAATTTACGTTTTCTTGTCGCAGTCTGGAGGAGGATGTACAAAATGGATGTAAATAAAAACAAATTTCATACTGCTGAAAGGGAATGACAGTTTCAATTTACTCAAGAGATATTGACCAAGAACTAGACGTCAACAGTAAATTTGCCTTTCTAAGAAAAAATATCCAATAATGATGATAGTGGGGAACCATGCCAGGTGGGGTGATGGAATTAAAAACGAAAAAAAAAATCAAGCGTGAAATCTAGGAGAGGTCAGTGCGTCACCTCTGTAGTGCTCTTGCTGTCTACTTGTGCAATGTGATCAGTGTGTGTTCTCAACTTCTGATATGTAACATAAGTTTAAATAAATATCTATTCCATCCAAGACACTCAGTACAGGAGCCAAAGGTTGCCAGTTGACAAAGGAACAGGTACTTTAGAGGCCACTGTACTTGTAACTATGAAGTAAATAATTATAGAAATGACTAATTCCTCCCCAGGCACATCAGGACCTGTCGTCATACTACTGTACACGGAGTAGACTGTAAGTAGGCCATTAAACACGATTAAAAACTCTGTTTGTACTACTAACGACACAATCTTGTAAACACATATTCATTTCGAGATAATTAATACATTAAATTACAGCGGATTAGTTAGTCGTGTGGTAATCCACTAAATACACCAACACGCCCTGTAAAAAATATGACTGAAATCTGCCAGTTGATCCTGCCGTTGTGCGAATGTCACAACACCTCTGCCGGCTTGTGCAGTATACATGACAGGAGCTGGCAAAGGTCACCGCAGTCATACCCAATGTCAATAGAGGATGTGAGGCTCCCCGGTATTCACGAATGTTTGGCTTGCAGAGGGGGGGGGGTCGTGCCGTAACTGATGGCCTCAAGGAGTCGTAACGTCAACGTGGGTAAATGGCCACGTGGTCTTAGCCAGCCCACGTGAAAAGACATGAATTTTCCAAGAATACAATTTGGGTGATCTGGCATGCGCATTGCGCAGGTCACATGGTCCCTCGTGACCAACATGCCTATACATGAATGATATGACACTTTTAAGCCAGGTCAAACACACACACTCTCTCTCTCGTATACAAGTAAACAAACAAACTGTGATAATATCTCGTTGTCTGCCTAGCTCACAGCCCAGAGTCAGTGCGGGACTGCATGGACACACAGTGAAGCAGCAGCAACACAGGGATGTATCGCTTATACAGCTACTTCACCAATGATGTTCGAGTCTGACATGGCGTAAATACATTTCAAGTTACAAGGTATGAAAGGTAGTTATTTATCATCATTATATAGTTGGAACTTGCTGAGGGATAAAGTGAGTTGGTCGCGTGAGGGTCATCCTACTGACTCACTGCTGGGCACGGGGCAGTGATACACTATGACCAGGAAGGCACGAAGAGGGGGGGGAGGCTGGGCAGCATCAAATTTAGGGAACTTTGTCCAAATCTCTTGTATATTTACGAAACTCTTATGTAAAAGCCAACGTCACCGATGAAATTTGAGGGTCTGTTTTAAATAGGCCACGGGTCACCGAATCTCTTTGTAAAACTCCTTAAGCGGAAAGGGTGACAATTGTCCCTATATTTTTTTAAGCCAAACTTTGACAAAACCTGAAATTACAAGCATGAAGGTGGTGAAAACGGAGAACAAGTACCTAAACCTTCTATATCCCGAATTTAATTTGAATCACACACCTTGGAAGGTGGGTCTCACAGGAGGGGGTAAGGGAGGGGGTCGTATCTGGACTTGTCATGAACGTCACACTGTATACTATATTTGGCAGTGTTCCAAAAGTCTGCACATACTGGAGACTGGAAAAA